ACAGGTCCTCTTTAAGGTGATACTAAGGGTCCAAAAGACCCTGGTATCACCTTTACACTCTAAATAAGCTATTGAAGTGCAGATCGCACTTTAATAGCTTATTGGGCTTCAGGAGCCTAGCAAGGACAGCTCAGGGACCGGAAGTGATGCAATATGCGTCGCTCTCTGTCCCAAAAAACTAGGAGAAGATTGGTGAACGGACGTTAGCCGCTCTCCTCCCCAGCTTCCCGCGGACACCCGAGATGCTGGTCCTGGGACCGCAGGAGGGGCAGCGGAGGCCGGGAAACACGCCAGGGGTGTCTGAGCCACCAGAATCGTTTCTACTGTAAAGCCGGCCGCCGGCTCTACAAATAGTGGCAGAGTAGCCGCCGGGAGTCTGTTTAACGCCTTACAGAGCCATGATGGAATGATCCCGTCATGGGTCGTGAAGGGGTTAAAAGAAAGTAGACTGTTACCCAACTAGGTGAGCTGGAGGATTGAAGCCCGCATGGGTACGTTTGTTGCTGAAAAGGACATTTTTTTGGAAACCGCATTGGAATAGAGGAAAGTACCTGACTAATGTTATGAAGTTTTGTGTTATGCTCCAAAGACTGGACTCTATTCCATGAATGCATAAATACCGGTACCTGTTTACTGTCGGGTGCTATATTTGCCCCAGAAGACTGTGGTTAAGAATGGTTCCTGTTACACACTGTATTAACCCCTTCACGTACCTGACTAATGTTATGAAGTTTTGTGTTATGCTCCAAAGACTGGACTCTATTCCATGAATGCATAAATACCTGTTTACTGTCGGGTGCTATATTTGCCCCAGAAGACTGTGGTTAAGAATGGTTCCTGTTACACACTGTATTAACCCCTTCACGACCCATGACGGGATAATCCCATCTTGAATTCTGAAAGGGTTAAACAGACTATGGTAAAGCCGGCCACCGGCTCTACCATAGAAGCGATTCTGGTGGCTCAGCTGCCGCCAGATCCTTTCTACCATCCGCCATCCCCCCCGCCCGACA